TTCCAGGAAGAGATTTCTACCAAACAGTAGAAGTACAAGTCAGCAAGCAAAACATGCAAGCCCTTTTTAAGTAATGAATTTCATGAAAGCTAAGATAATGTGATAATTTTTAATTCTCTCTATATTAAAACGTTACTCTGCCTTTAATATAAAGTTGGTATAGTTTACAACTATAATCTCCAGAAACTCTTGAATTCATTTCTGTTTCATTCCCTCTCCTGGTTCCTTTAAATCAGCTTATTATTTTTCATGAAATTTTTTTTTTCAAATCACACAGAAGTTTCTCCTCCTGATTAGATGGGCTATCCTGCTTTTGTGCTTTTGCTTATAGAAACATCTTGTGAAAAAGAGAATTTCCTCAGGGCAGTTCCCTATAGGAAGAAACTGGCCTAAGAGGTTCCAAAGGAGCATTTTGATTACTCCAAACAATTTATTGGACCAGCAAATCCATGTAGGTCACAGTCTTTGTGGGTAGAACCTGTTAAATTAGAGACAGCAGGAACCTCACTAGAGACTGATACCATAAAATGTGATTATGGTCAAGCTTAAAGTAATCATTGGTGGCCGAAATTGTACTTTAAATAATTTTTCATATTGTAAACTCCCATGTTGATTTAGGGCTTAGTGTTTCAGCTACTAAAATATATTTCCAAGAGGTTTATAAAAATAGTATTATAGTGAGGTTAGGGGATGGTATGTAGTGGAGCATGAATATTTCATTTGAAAAAATATTTTTCAATTTACTATGTATTTTGGGGATTCCAGTTTTAAAAGCTTCTATTCTCTCAGGGTCTTTTATTTTTATTAATTTAAAAGTAGGATAAGCCATCTGAAGTGAGTAGCTTTTATTGATTTCTGTGGCAGTATGAGCTAAGGTAGCATTATGAGAATTCCAAATCTATAAAATAAAAGGTAATATTATATCAGTATGTAACAGGTAACACAGGATTTGACAAAAATCACAGGCAAGTCATCTTTCAAATGTCTCATCTGTTAATGTAACTGAATTTAAGTAAATGGATTATTCCTTAGTTATGTTAGTTTTAAAAACAGAAAATATATAGCCATTCTTTTCTTTCCCCTATAGTCTAAATTTTTAAACATGGGTTTTCAGTTTCACTTTTCTTTCTCCCTAGCTCTTTACAACCTTTTCTGCTTTTTGAGATTAAAAAAAGATTAAAACACTGCAGGTTTGATAAACAAAAGCAATAGTTACACAGTGTGTAACTATTAGTGGTTGGCTGGTTCCTCCTGACATGGATTTTGCTTATCTTTACTTTTTGGGCACCAGCCTTGTTTTTCATTGGTATTATGTGGTCTAATGATTAATAATAATAACTATCACTTAAAAAGTATTGTCTGTAGATCATGTACTCCACAAACATTATTTTAAATTATTATTACAATCTCACCCCAAAGTAGCTATTATTTCTTCCATTATAAATATGATTGAATTGGAGCCTTAATATTTAAGCAACTTACCTAAAATTATAAAATTTTGAAGATCTCTTTCATTGCAAAGCATATACGTAATGTGTGTGTGTGTGTGTGTGTATTATAATGTTATCATTCTATCCCTCATTCTAAACATTGGCTATTATGGAATTTAAAATGTTTTGTTCATGTTACATTTAAAATAACCAGGTTTATATATTTATATAATTGGTTTGTGTATTATGTAGGTCTAGGCTGAAAATATATTATTAAGTGGTTTCATACTGTTCAACCTATACAGCTAGGTATAAGTTTAATACTT